ATGTACGTCCCATATCTCAGCAACCTTACATTTAGATGGGCTAATGTCGTTAACTACAGGTAAAATGTTGTAAGAAATTTGTAGCAGCCATCTAGGACCCCTTAGGGTCCTACCCGATGAATTGTGAGTTACAGCTGCGAACATATATATGGTATCCCAGCACTTCGTGGAGGTCTATTCCCTTCTTCACGGAGTAAAGATCAGTTATTTTATTAAAGCACATGAAAGAAAATATAAGACTGCGATGGCGGCGCACTTAAGTTATATTTATATATTATAAAGCGCCGACATCGAACATAAAATAATTAACAAGAATACAATACTGCATAAAATATTAACAAAGAAATGTACACAATCTAAACAAACAATGCAAAACACACATATCGGGAACAAATAAAATGTAACTAGATGTAACTGAATGCGCATTTGACAGGTGACATTTCAGAAGGCACAAATAGTGCAATGTGCTAAATGTTGTAACTCAGAAAGGTACGAAACGGTTTATTTTAGTAATGAAATCTTGGGTGAAGCTCATAATTTCACAATTCATTTTGAACGAAAAGCAAAAGGATCTGTGAAACAAAAGATGTATAAAGCGTCAACGGAGAGACAATCATTATCTAAAAAGAAGTTCAAATGGTTCAATCTATTTTTATAATTAGTTAAAAGTTGTGTTTGGACATACCTCCCACTCTGTAGTTAACGCTATCTTCCTCAGACTCTTCTTCTCTTTCGGTATCTTTTTGCGTGTAGGCGTTGTCGTGGCGTAGGTCTTCATCATGCTCTGGACACTCCACTATGTGATCTCCCATGTCAATGTGGTGAAGAGAGGTGTCAGTCGGCGCAGCGCGTTGGAACTTACAGGTAGCGCCACGTCGTCCCATCCTCACACTTACAAGTCCATGCCCTGCATCCAAGTCTTCGTGCTTTCTGTCTACATGTTCCGGCTCTTTTTCAGGCAAATATCTTACGTCTGCGGCCACCTTCATTCCCTCATGGTGGCGAGTTGGGAGACCTGTAGGCACAGCAAGCTGCAGACCAGAGCTCAACGCAAAGCCGCTTTCCCCGTCCAGATCCACGTCTTCATGCTTGTTGTTTTCTCCCTCAAGATTTTTTGTGTGCGACATTTTTGCGACATTTACCTTGGAGTCCATTTTCTGATGTGGGCGAGTTGGGAGTTCTTTGAATTTAGACACAGCACGCTGCAGCCCAGAGCTCAACCCTAAGCCGCTTTCTATATCCAGATCCACGTCTTCATACTTGTGGTCCTCCTCTTCTGAATCTTTTGTGTGCGACATTTTTGCGTCATTTATCTCGGAGTCCATTCCCTCATGTTGGAGAGTCGAGAGATCTTTAAATTTAGACACAGCACGCTGTAGCCCAGAGGTGACCACAGGTCTTTCTCCGTTCGGACCAACGTTTTTGTACCTGTTGTTTTTTGCTTTTGAATCTTTTGTGTGCGACATTTTTGCGTCATTCACCTCGGAGTCCGTTCTCGTATGTTGGCGAGTCGGGAGTTCTTTAAATTTAGACACAGCACGCTGCAGCCCAGATCTCAACCCAAAGCCGCCTTCTATATCCAGATCCACGTCTTCATACTTGTGGTCCTCTTCTTCTGAATCTTTTGTGTGCGACATTTTTGCGTCATTTATCTCGGAGTCCATTCCCTCATGTTGGAGAGTCGAGAGATCTTTAAATTTAGACACAGCACGCTGACGCCCAGAGCTCGCCACAGGTCTTTCCCCATTCGGACCAACGTTTTTGTACTTGTTGTTTTTTGCTTTTAAATCTTTTGTGTGCGACATTTTTGCGTCATTTACCTCGGAGTCCGTTCTCGTATGTTGGCGAGTCGGCAGTTCTTTAAATTTAGACACAGCACGCTGAAGCCCATAACTCGACACAAAGCTTTCCTCATTCGGAGACACGTTTTCGTATTTGTTGGTTTTTGCGTCTGAATCTTTTGTGTGCGACATTTTTGCGTCATTTACCTTCCTTCCTTCACGATGGCAAGTCTTTTTTACACACAGCACATCCCAGAACTCAGTACAAAAAATCCATTCAATTCAAATCCACGTCTTTGTATATATAGACTTCCTCACAGTAAATTCGTATCACTTTCCTCAATCAATAATTCTCATACAAGAATCTGAACTTCCCCATACCTGGCAGAATCTGGAATGGTTTCCCAGTCTTTGGCCACTCTAAAGGTTGATATTTTGGATGGTTTGCTGATTTCACAGATAACAAATTGAGCTGAACTGTTAACTGCAGTTGTGGCTGCAAGAATGAACAGAAAACAGGCTCTCGTGGTGTGGCTAAACAACTCACACCAGACGTGTAGATATTATAAAAGGCTGAAGCTTGCGATTGAGAATTTGCATATTGAAAAATACTTCATGACGTTTCAGAAGTCTACCCACGCGATTTCTTGAACATTTTGATTTGTCTAGAAACTGTTTCTAAACATCATAATTTCGGTGTCGCTATGAAGTTGTTCGCT